GCTCATACATCCGCAAAAGAACAGACAAAAAACAGAATATGCTGATCAAGAATTTGCAGCTCCCTGTGTTTCCTCCGTTAGGACTAGAATCAGAGAAGCAAATTATGACTGGTATTCTTCCAAGTGTAGCATCATTGGATTGCAAAGCCTAGAGACTGGTTTGTGGCAGAAATCAAAAAATGATTACCATCCATTTCAGCAGTAACAGATCTCAAACAGGAAGACAGGCAATCTTATCCTCAAAAGCAGCAGCATCAGGTAAACAGGTCCCAATAATGTAGACCAAGTGGTTGATAATTCTTTCAGGTATGGAGCAGACATGAACGAAGGCCTAAACCATGATAGAAGCACTCCATGATGATAAAGATGCAAGTCATGAGACAGTATCAAAGGCAGAAGTGAATGGCTGGCACCCAGACACCAAACTAAAGGTGAGATCCCAACCCAGACACAAACTATAGGCTCAAAGCTCGTGGCTGAAAGAGTAGCGCGCAGCGGTAAGAAGAATGGAACAAAAGAATTGAAGGTGGAGGACATTTCGGGTGCGATCATACCAGTACTAATGCACCGGATCCCATCAGAACTCCGCAGTTAAGCATGCTTGGGCAAGAGTAGTACTAAGATGGGTGACCCCCTGGGAAGTCCTCGTGTCGCACCCCTTTTTCGATTTTGGACGGAATCTGTTCCCTTCTCCCCCCCTTTCCCTTCCTTCTTCTCTTGGCTCGCCGCCAATTCTGCTCGTCTCGTCGAGAGCTCTCCGGAGGGCTGCTAGCGGCGGCTTTTCGAGCTCGGAGCAGAAATTTCCTCTTGCGCGGGCACGGTCGGCCCTGGCGAGCCCTCCAACGTGATACGGGGTCCGGTCGGCGAGACGTAACTAAGAAAGCTCGTGGCCGAAGGAGTAGCGCGCAGCGGTAACAAGAATGGAACAAAAGAATTGAAGGAGGAGATCATTTCGGGTGCGATCATACCAGCACTAATGCACCGGATCCCATCAGAACTCCGCAGTTAAGCGTGCTTGGGCGAGAGTAGTACTAGGATGGGTGACCCCCTGGGAAGTCCTCGTGTCGCACCCCTTTTTCGATCGATTTTGAATAAACAAAACATGCCACATCAGATTTTGATTATCTATTTAGAGGTTGCCAAAGTTAGCAATGTTAAATTCCCACATTGGTTATGTTTTGCCAATAATCAAAACCAATGGGCCCTCCAAACTTTTTCCCTTCATTTCATGCATTTTTTTGAAAAAGCGGTTTTTGAGGGGAAAAAACAATTTATGTTAGAAATAGTTCAAAAATATATATATAATTTTTCGAAACAAAAAACAGTTTTTCAAAACACACACTTTGTTCACTTAAAAATAGTAAATACGATTTTGGAAACTTTGAAAGAATTGTATTTACACAAATAGTTTTGAAATTTTAAAAACTATAAATACAGTTTTTTAAAAACAGATTTTTTGTAAAAAATAATTTTTTTGAAAAACACACTTTATTTACTTACAGTTTTTAAAAATTTATTTTCTGAAAAAAAAATATAAAAGTTACAGTTTTTTAAAATTATTTTTTGAAAACATTGTTTTGAGAGAGAGAGAGAGAATGGAAGAGAGAGAAGATTCTTGTGTAATGTAGGTGTACTTGATGGAGAGATAAAATTTGGTTATTGACAAAACATTGCTAGCTTTGATTGTTGAAGAGTCAAAATTTGATGAGTTGTTAATAGGCTGCTAGGTTTGGTTATTCCAATGTGAGCACTTTTTTGATCCAACATTGCTAACTTTAACAATTTTTTGTTTTGCTTATTCCACTGTGTATGCTCTAATATACTTACGCCTATTCTCGTACAGTGCTTTGATCAGCATGGAGTAAAGATCTCCTACTAATTAAACCCTTACCTGATTGCGTGGCTTTTTTCTTTTGTAAAGCTTGGTTAGTTGACATGTTTAATTAGTCCCCATTCCCCAATCCCTATGCGGTAGCTTGAATGGAAGCTTCTTCTTTTTTTAACAGGCAAAAAGCAAAGATTTTTTTTATTAACAATCAAGATCGGTACAAGAGGGGGGAACGGGGAAAAAAGCATCACAATGAACGAAAGACATCTCCCAATTCCTAACTATGTTGGCACCCGAAACGTTCGACAATCATATGCCCACCCGACTCCCAAAAGATAACACAATTGGGAAGATTTCAACCGACCAAATAAAGCCACCCACAATTAGTACATGTTACAGCTCATACATCCGCAAAAGAACAGACAAAAAACAGAATATGCTGATCAAGAATTTGCAGCTCCCTGTGTTTCCTCCGTTAGGACTAGAATCAGAGAAGCAAATTATGACTGGTATTCTTCCAAGTGTAGCATCATTGGATTGCAAAGCCTAGAGACTGGTTTGTGGCAGAAACCAAAAAAGGATTACCATCCATTGCAGCAGTAACATATCTCAAACAGGAAGACAGGCAATCTTATCCTCAAAAGCAGCAGCATCAGGTAAACAGGTCCCAATAATGTAGACCAAGTGGTTGATAATTCTTTCAGGTATGGAGCAGACATGAACGAAGGCCTAAACCATGATAGAAGCACTCCATGATGATAAAGATGCAAGTCATGAGACAGTATCAAAGGCAGAAGTGAATGGCTGGCACCCAGACACCAAACTAAAGGTGAGATCCCAACCCAGACACAAACTATAGGCTCAAAGCTCGTGGCTGAAAGAGTAGCGCGCAGCGGTAAGAAGAATGGAACAAAAGAATTGAAGGAGGAGGACATTTCGGGTGCGATCATACCAGCACTAATGCACCGGATCCCATCAGAACTCCACAATTAAGCGTGCTTGGGCGAGAGTAGTACTAGGATGGGTGACCCCCTGGGAAGTCCTCGTGTTGCGCCCCCCCTTTTTTGATTTTGTACGGAATCTTTTCCCTTCTCCCCCCCTTTCCCTTCCTGCGTCTCTTGGCTCGCCGCCACTTCTGCTCGTCTCGTCGAGAGCTCTCCGGAGGGCTGCTAGCGGCGGCTTTTCGAGCTTGGAGCAGAAATTTCCTCTTGCGCGGGCACGGTCGGCCCTGGCGAGCCCTCCAACGTGATACGGGGTCCGGTCGGCGAGACGTAACTAAGAAAGCTCGTGGCCGAAGGAGTAGCGCGCAGCGGTAACAAGAATGGAACAAAAGAATTGAAGGAGGAGATCATTTCGGGTGCGATCATACCAGCACTAATGCACCGGATCCCATCAGAACTCCGCAGTTAAGCGTGCTTGGGCGAGAGTAGTACTAGGATGGGTGACCCCCTGGGATGTCCTCGTGTTGCACCCCTTTTTCGATCGATTTTGAATAAACAAAACATGCCACATCAGATTTTGATTATCTATTTAGAGGTTGCTAAAGTTAGCAATGTTAAATTCCCACATTGGTTATGTTTTGCCAATAATCAAAACCAATGGGCCCTCCAAACTTTTTCCCTTCATTTCATGCATTTTTTTGAAAAAGCGGTTTTTGAGGGGAAAAAACAATTTATGTTAGAAATAGTTCAAAAATATATATATAATTTTTCGAAACAAAAAACAGTTTTTCAAAACACACACTTTGTTCACTTAAAAATAGTAAATGCGATTTTGGAAACTTTGAAAGAATTGTATTTACACAAATAGTTTTGAAATTTTAAAAACTATAAATACAGTTTTTTAAAAACAGATTTTTTGTAAAAAATAGTTTTTTTGAAAAACACACTTTATTTACTTACAGTTTTTTAGAATTTTGTTTTCTGAAAAAAAAAATATGAAAGTTACAGTTTTTTAAAATTATTTTTTGAAAACATTGTTTTGAGAGAGAGAGAGAGAATGGAAGAGAGAGAAGATTCTTGTGTAATGTAGGTGTACTTGATGGAGAGATAAAATTTGGTTATTGACAAAACATTGCTAGCTTTGATTGTTGAAGAGTCAAAATTTGATGAGTTGTTAATAGGCTGCTAGGTTTGGTTATTCCAATGTGAGCACTTTTTTGATCCAACATTGCTAACTTTAACAATTTTTTGTTTTGCTTATTCCACTGTGTATGCTCTAATATACTTACGCCTATTCTCGTACAGTGCTTTGATCAGCATGGAGTAAAGATCTCCTACTAATTAAACCCTTACCTGATTGCGTGGCTTTTTTCTTTTGTAAAGCTTGGTTAGTTGACATGTTTAATTAGTCCCCATTCCCCAATCCCTATGCGGTAGCTTGAATGGAAGCTTCTTCTTTTTTTAACAGCAAAAAGCAAAGATTTTTTTTATTAACAATCAAGATCGGTACAAGAGGGGGGAACGGGGGAAAAAAGCATCACAATGAACGAAAGACATCTCCCAATTCCTAACTATGTTGGCACCCGAAACGTTCGACAATCATATGCCCACCCGACTCCCAAAAGATAACACAATTGGGAAGATTTCAACCGACCAAATAAAGCCACCCACAATTAGTACATGTTACAGCTCATACATCCGCAAAAGAACAGACAAAAAACAGAGTATGCTGATCAAGAATTTGCAGCTCCCTGTGTTTCCTCCGTTAGGACTAGAATCAGAGAAGCAAATTATGACTGGTATTCTTCCAAGTGTAGCATCATTGGATTGCAAAGCCTAGAGACTGGTTTGTGGCAGAAACCAAAAAAGGATTACCATCCATTGCAGCAGTAACAGATCTCAAACAGGAAGACAGGCAATCTTATCCTCAAAAGCAACAGCATCAGGTAAACAGGTCCCAATAATGTAGACCAAGTGGTTGATAATTCTTTCCGGTATGGAGCAGACATGAACGAAGGCCTAAACCATGATAGAAGCACTCCATGATGATAAAGATGCAAGTCATGAGACAGTATCAAAGGCAGAAGTGAATGGCTGGCACCCAGACACCAAACTAAAGGTGAGATCCCAACCCAGACACAAACTATAGGCTCAAAGCTCGTGGCTGAAAGAGTAGCGCGCAGCGGTAAGAAGAATGGAACAAAAGAATTGAAGGAGGAGGACATTTCGGGTGCGATCATACCAGCACTAATGCACCGGATCCCATCATCACACCAAAATAAAGAGTGCATGGGCGAGAGTAGTACTAGGATGGGTGACCTCCTGGGAAGTCCTCGTGTTGCACCCCGTATTTTTTGTTTTTGTACGGATTGTTTTCCCTTCTCCCCCCCACTTTCCCTTCCTTCTTCTCTTGGCTCGCCGCCTCTTCTGATCGTGTCGTCGAGAGCTCTCCTGAGGGCTGCTAGCGGCGGCTTTTCGAGCTCGGAGCAGAAATTTCCTCTTGCGCGGGCACGGTCGGCCCTGGCGAGCCCTCCAACGTGATACGGGGTCCGGTCGGCGAGACGTAACTAAGAAAGCTCGTGGCCGAAGGAGTAGCGCGCAGCGGTAACAAGAATGGAACAAAAGAATTGAAGGAGGAGATCATTTCGGGTGCGATCATACCAGCACTAATGCACCGGATCCCATCAGAACTCCGCAGTTAAGCGTGCTTGGGCGAGAGTAGTACTAGGATGGGTGACCCCTTGGGAAGTCCTCGTGTTGCACCCCTTTTTCGATCGATTTTGAATAAACAAAACATGCCACATCAGATTTTGATTATCTATTTAGAGGTTGCTAAAGTTAGCAATGTTAAATTCCCACATTGGTTATGTTTTGCCAATAATCAAAACCAATGGGCCCTCCAAACTTTTTCCCTTCATTTCATGCATTTTTTTGAAAAAGCGGTTTTTGAGGGGAAAAAACAATTTATGTTAGAAATAGTTCAAAAATATATATATAATTTTTCGAAACAAAAAACAGTTTTTCAAAACACACACTTTGTTCACTTAAAAATAGTAAATGCGATTTTGGAAACTTTGAAAGAATTGTATTTACACAAATAGTTTTGAAATTTTAAAAACTATAAATACAGTTTTTTAAAAACAGATTTTTTGTAAAAAATAGTTTTTTTGAAAAACACACTTTATTTACTTACAGTTTTTTAAAATTTTGTTTTCTGAAAAAAAAATATGAAAGTTACAGTTTTTTAAAATTATTTTTTGAAAACATTGTTTTGAGAGAGAGAGAGAGAATGGAAGAGAGAGAAGATTCTTGTGTAATGTAGGTGTACTTGATGGAGAGATAAAATTTGGTTATTGACAAAACATTGCTAGCTTTGATTGTTGAAGAGTCAAAATTTGATGAGTTGTTAATAGGCTGCTAGGTTTGGTTATTCCAATGTGAGCACCTTTTTGATCCAACATTGCTAACTTTAACAATTTTTTGTTTTGCTTATTCCACTGTGTATGCTCTAATATACTTACGCCTATTCTCGTACAGTGCTTTGATCAGCATGGAGTAAAGATCTCCTACTAATTAAACCCTTACCTGATTGCGTGGCTTTTTTCTTTTGTAAAGCTTGGTTAGTTGACATGTTTAATTAGTCCCCATTCCCCAATCCTTATGCGGTAGCTTGAATGGAAGCTTCTTCTTTTTTTAACAGCAAAAAGCAAAGATTTTTTTATTAATAATCAAGATCGGTACAAGAGGGGGGAACGGGGAAAAAAGCATCACAATGAACGAAAGACATCTCCCAATTCCTAACTATGTTGGCACCCGAAACGTTCGACAATCATATGCCCACCCGACTCCCAAAAGATAACACAATTGGGAAGATTTCAACCGACCAAATAAAGCCACCCACAATTAGTACATGTTACAGCTCATACATCCGCAAAAGAACAGACAAAAAACAGAATATGCTGATCAAGAATTTGCAGCTCCCTGTGTTTCCTCCGTTAGGACTAGAATCAGAGAAGCAAATTATGACTGGTATTCTTCCAAGTGTAGCATCATTGGATTGCAAAGCCTAGAGACTGGTTTGTGGCAGAAACCAAAAAAGGATTACCATCCATTGCAGCAGTAACAGATCTCAAACAGGAAGACAGGCAATCTTATCCTCAAAAGCAACAGCATCAGGTAAACAGGTCCCAATAATGTAGACCAAGTGGTTGATAATTCTTTCAGGTATGGAGCAGACATGAACGAAGGCCTAAACCATGATAGAAGCACTCCATGATGATAAAGATGCAAGTCATGAGACAGTATCAAAGGCAGAAGTGAATGGCTGGCACCCAGACACCAAACTAAAGGTGAGATCCCAACCCAGACACAAACTATAGGCTCAAAGCTCGTGGCTGAAAGAGTAGCGCGCAGCGGTAAGAAGAATGGAACAAAAGAATTGAAGGAGGAGGACATTTCGGGTGCGATCATACCAGCACTAATGCACCGGATCCCATCAGAACTCCGCAGTTAAGCGTGCTTGGGCGAGAGTAGTACTAGGATGGGTGACCTCCTGGGAAGTCCTCGTGTTGCACCCCCCCTTTTTTGATTTTGTACGGAATCTTTTCCCTTCTCCCCCCCCCTTTCCCTTCCTTCTTCTCTTGGCTCGCCGCCAATTCTGCTCGTCTCGTCGAGAGCTCTCCGGAGGGCTGCTAGCGGCGGCTTTTCGAGCTCGGAGCAGAAATTTCCTCTTGCGCGGGCACGGTCGGCCCTGGCGAGCCCTCCAACGTGATACGGGGTCCGGTCGGCGAGACGTAACTAAGAAAGCTCGTGGCCGAAGGAGTAGCGCGCAGCGGTAACAAGAATGGAACAAAAGAATTGAAGGAGGAGATCATTTCGGGTGCGATCATACCAGCACTAATGCACCGGATCCCATCAGAACTCCGCAGTTAAGCGTGCTTGGGCGAGAGTAGTACTAGGATGGGTGACCCCCTGGGAAGTCCTCGTGTTGCACCCCTTTTTCGATCGATTTTGAATAAACAAAACATGCCACATCAGATTTTGATTATCTATTTAGAGGTTGCTAAAGTTAGCAATGTTAAATTCCCACATTGGTTATGTTTTGCCAATAATCAAAACCAATGGGCCCTCCAAACTTTTTCCCTTCATTTCATGCATTTTTTTGAAAAAGCGGTTTTTGAGGGGAAAAAACAATTTATGTTAGAAATAGTTCAAAAATATATATATAATTTTTCGAAACAAAAAACAGTTTTTCAAAACACACACTTTGTTCACTTAAAAATAGTAAATGCGATTTTGGAAACTTTGAAAGAATTGTATTTACACAAATAGTTTTGAAATTTTAAAATCTATAAATACAGTTTTTTAAAAACAGATTTTTTGTAAAAAAATAGTTTTTTTGAAAAACACACTTTATTTACTTACAGTTTTTTAGAATTTTGTTTTCTGAAAAAAAAATATGAAAGTTACAGTTTTTTAAAATTATTTTTTGAAAACATTGTTTTGAGAGAGAGAGAGAGAATGGAAGAGAGAGAAGATTCTTGTGTAATGTAGGTGTACTTGATGGAGAGATAAAATTTGGTTATTGACAAAACATTGCTAGCTTTGATTGTTGAAGAGTCAAAATTTGATGAGTTGTTAATAGGCTGCTAGGTTTGGTTATTCCAATGTGAGCACTTTTTTGATCCAACATTGCTAACTTTAACAATTTTTTGTTTTGCTTATTCCACTGTGTATGCTCTAATATACTTACGCCTATTCTCGTACAGTGCTTTGATCAGCATGGAGTAAAGATCTCCTACTAATTAAACCCTTACCTGATTGCGTGGCTTTTTTCTTTTGTAAAGCTTGGTTAGTTGACATGTTTAATTAGTCCCCATTCCCCAATCCCTATGCGGTAGCTTGAATGGAAGCTTCTTCTTTTTTTAACAGCAAAAAGCAAAGATTTTTTTTATTAACAATCAAGATCGGTACAAGAGGGGGGAACGGGGAAAAAAGCATCACAATGAACGAAAGACATCTCCCAATTCCTAACTATGTTGGCACCCGAAACGTTCGACAATCATATGCCCACCCGACTCCCAAAAGATAACACAATTGGGAAGATTTCAACCGACCAAATAAAGCCACCCACAATTAGTACATGTTACACTCATACATCCGCAAAAGAACAGACAAAAAACAGAATATGCTGATCAAGAATTTGCAGCTTCCTGTGTTTCCTCCGTTAGGACTAGAATCAGAGAAGCAAATTATGACTGGTATTCTTCCAAGTGTAGCATCATTGGATTGCAAAGCCTAGAGACTGGTTTGTGGCAGAAACCAAAAAAGGATTACCATCCATTGCAGCAGTAACAGATCTCAAACAGGAAGACAGGCAATCTTATCCTCAAAAGCAGCAGCATCAGGTAAACATGTCCCAATAATGTAGACCAAGTGGTTGATAATTCTTTCCGGTATGGAGCAGACATGAACGAAGGCCTAAACCATGATAGAAGCACTCCATGATGATAAAGATGCAAGTCATGAGACAGTATCAAAGGCAGAAGTGAATGGCTGGCACCCAGACACCAAACTAAAGGTGAGATCCCAACCCAGACACAAACTATAGGCTCAAAGCTCGTGGCTGAAAGAGTAGCGCGCAGCGGTAAGAAGAATGGAACAAAAGAATTGAAGGAGGAGGACATTTCGGGTGCGATCATACCAGCACTAATGCACCGGATCCCATCAGAACTCCGCAGTTAAGCGTGCTTGGGCGAGAGTAGTACTAGGATGGGTGACCTCCTGGGAAGTCCTCGTGTTGCACCCCCCCTTTTTTGATTTTGTACGGAATCTTTTCCCTTCTCCCCCCCCCCTTTCCCTTCCTTCTTCTCTTGGCTCGCCGCCAATTCTGCTCGTCTCGTCGAGAGCTCTCCGGAGGGCTGCTAGCGGCGGCTTTTCGAGCTCGGGGTAGAAATTTCCTCATGCGCGGGCACGGTCGGCCCTGGCGAGCCCTCCAACGTGATACGGGGTCCGGTCGGCGAGACGTAACTAAGAAAGCTCGTGGCCGAAGGAGTAGCGCGCAGCGGTAACAAGAATGGAACAAAAGAATTGAAGGAGGAGATCATTTCGGGTGCGATCATACCAGCACTAATGCACCGGATCCCATCAGAACTCCGCAGTTAAGCGTGCTTGGGCGAGAGTAGTACTAGGATGGGCGACCCCCTAGGAAGTCCTCGTGTCGCACCCCTTTTTCGATCGATTTTGAATAAACAAAACATGCCACATCAGATTTTGATTATCTATTTAGAGATTGCCAAAGTTAGCAATGTTAAATTCCCACATTGGTTATGTTTTGCCAATAA